TAAGAGTTTAACCTAAATGATTTATAATATAGTATAAATAACTATTTCAGATAAAATATAGATAAGGCCCAGGCCCAAGATAAAGATAGAAGCCCAAATCATTCAAATATATATGCTCCTTTACTCATTACTTTCAATACGTAAATAAAAACACTTTCAAAAGTTATGGTACTAGTTTAGACAGTTAATACATCGCATGCTATTACTGCCCAAATGTGAATTCGGGTTATTAATCTTTGATCTTTCTATCGTTGCAAAATATGAACATCAGTTGCATCTTGTTTGATTGTAAATGAAAGAATTGTTATGTTAGAATGAACATATCGTTGAATGAAATATGCTTCTGAACACACCCAAATTCTAACTATCAGATGAAAACCCGACAAATGTGGTGATAGGAAAGAACTAACGAGATAGGTGTCAAGTTGAGATGGCAATAAAGTAAGTCCATGTTTAAGCTCGTAAAATGGAAACAACTCATTGATCAAATAAACAACTCACGGGATTTGGATTTGGATTTGAATTTCATTCCAATGCTGGGATTTCAATGAAAAACCTGCAAACATGGGATTCTCGAAATATCATAAGATTAGTTGGTATTTCAAAGGATTTCACATGATTTGTTTATAATAATGTTCTAAAATATGTTAAAAAACACTTGTTTGGTAGTAATCAATTAATAAAAAATATATTTTAATTATTTTAATCTTTTATAATTTATTTTTGTAAGATATTTACAAAGAATGAAATTCAACTCCATTCCAAATCCTACAAATCAAACACACCAAAGATTCCAAATACTTTCATAAAATCCCAATTGCTCAAATACATTTTCTTAAACCAGACGAAACCATAATCATTACTTCTCGTTTTCTCTTTGTTTTAATGTATAACACAACAATATCTAACCATATATGGATCAAGGTAGTTGGATTGAACATATATATATATATATATATATATATATATATTTTATATAAATGGTTAAATTAAAATTTTAAAACCTTTAAAATAAGAAAATCAAATATTAGTTGTTAGTATTTGATCATCGAAAATACAATCATTTAAATATAAGTGTAACTATATAAGATGGCAATATAATCTTACAATAAAACCTGTAAATTGATTATTTGATTTGAATCCATCAAATATTAACATCCATCTTGACTTCCCAAAGGAGGGATGATTTGAATTTTGGACTTAATTCATAAGTTGGACAAGGGTGGGTCAATCCAATTCTGTCTGGTTTATGGATTTTAGGCATCGATTATGCTTTTCGTTAGAACACAAATTAGTTATTTGATCAATTTTTTAGGTTGGATTACGTGTTTATGTGCACCCCTATCAACAAGAGTTTGATGTATGTAAACCACAAGGGTAGTGCCTGATTGGTTTGAGCTTAGCTCCAAAGGTCAAAAGTACCAAGAGATCTCAGGTTCAAATCCAAGGAGGAATAAAAATCCCCTTGTGGCCACGGAGGCTTAAATGCGGTGACTCCGGGCTATCTGCAAAGCAGATGGTTGTCCTGGAATTAATCGACTCGAATAGCGGGTTAGATAACCAGGTTAATAAAAAAAAGAGTTTGATGTATGTAGTAAATGTAGGTTGGATGGTGTTTGATAGTAGCTTGATAGGGGATTGGAGCTCGACAAAATGAGAAAAAAAAAACCCATAATAAAATAACAACTAATAAAAAGACGGGTAAGTGTGTGTATATATATATATATATATATATATAGAAACCTATTTAAGGAAGAACTGAGTTGTTTGTGGTAACTGTGAGAACCAATATTAACCACAAATCAATAGATAAATTAAGAAATTTATAAATTTGGTAATTTTAAATTAAAATTTTAATGCAAGAATATTTTTCCTCTCTTCTCTCTCCGGCCACCGTT